TTGCCTTTTATTGTGCACCAAACGTGTAATATCAGCCTAAATAGTATGGAATTTTGCACAAACAACCAAATTAGGCCTAAAAATAAATATGCCAAATTTGATCGAAATCGGTTCAGATATAGCTATAGCTCCCATATATATATATATATTGTTCATCCGACTCGTTATTTTTGTTCTCCGCAGCCGTAATATGCACTCTGTAACAACAATATTTGGGGAAATATATCAAATACAGCTCAGAAATATCTTTGCCAAATTTTATTGAGATCGGTTCAGATTTGGATGTGACTCCCATATATATCTTCGTCCGATTTACATTTAATTGTACACCAGACGTCTAATATTTGCCCAAATGGGATGGAATTCGGCACATGCGAACGAATTGAGTCTAGAATCTAGTATGCCAAATTTGGTGAAGATCGGTTCAGATATAGCCATAGCTACCATATATATTGTTCATCCGATTTGTTGTATTTGTTACCCACAGCCGTAATATGCACTCCGTAACAACGATATTCAGGGAAATATATCAAAAACAGTTCAGAAATATCTTTGCCAAATTTTATTGAGATCGGTTCAGATTGGGATATAGTTCCTATATATATCTTTATCTGATTTCAAATTAATTGTGCACCAAATGGGCAATACAATTCCGAATTTAAAAGATACAAATGCTTCGGCATATTTCGTCCTTTGAACTTTAAATTACAATTATAATCATAGCGTGTATGATTAAACTCTCCCATAAAATCTTTTAATTGTTATGTGGAGCTCCACTAAATTAGCAAAGAGGTGTAGGGTATCACAAAGTCGGCCCCGCCCGACTTTAGGTCTTTCTTTACTGGTTTTTCTATGGGAAATTGAAAATTCATACGGAAAATGAAAATGTAAATTAAAATCCTACACCATTTGGAGTAACTTGTATACAAAAATCTGTTAAGACCTCAGATCCCAAAAGTGACCATCACCCAAAATGCCAAGATTCCAACTTCAGCCGTTTCGTCCGTCTCATCTGAGACTTGAGTGACCATCACCCAAAATTTTAAGATTCCAGCTTCAGCTCTTTCGTCTGGGTACTGATGAATATGAGAGAGAGAGAGAGAGAGAGAGAGAAGAGAGAGAGAGTAACGATTCATCAATACCCAGACGAAAGAGCTGAAGCTGGAATCTTAAAATTTTGGGGGATGGTCACTCAAAACTCAGATGAGACGGACGAAACGGCTGAAGCTGCAATCTGGGCATTTTGGGTGATGGTCACTTTTGGTCCAAATGGATCACATAAGACTGGGTTTTTTGGAAATTCGTACTAGAACATTACGCAAAATATTATACGCTACTAAAGCTGTGGAGCTAGAACTCTTACATTTGGAGTTAAGGGTCACTGATGGAGTGTATGATAGATGTATCAAAGGGTTTTTGGAAATTCTCTCTTTAGGTGTACGAAAAATACTAAAATGTACTACATTTGGTACCATTTCGTATCATGTGAACGGTTAACTGGAGACTTGAAATTTGGAATGGGTATCAAGGTTGAGGAGTTGAGTCGATATGAGGCGGTAGATTTCGAAGTGTGTACTCCAGTATACAAAAATTACAAAGCCTTACTATATTTAGAACATTCCTGAAATTTGAAACTAACATTACTGTTGAAGCGTAGGATTGAGATATGAAGGAAGTTTTCGAAATCTGTACTTATGTGCACGAAAAGTACTAAATTTAGTAAATTTCGATTTGGGTGAACAGATGGAGCTGAAACTCTGAATTTTATAAATATGATTACTATTCCATTCTTGGACTGAGGAATGTAGGTAGTTTTGAGCATTCGTACAATTAATTGTACAATTTAATTGTTGGGAGAACCAATTGAGTTGGAATCTTAAAATTTGGAAATAAGATTACTATTGCATTGTCGGACTGAGGTACGTAAGTGGTTTTGGAAATTTCTACTTATGTGTACTAAATGGTACTAAATTTGGTACAATTTAAATTTTGGGAGTATCTTGAAATTTGAAAATAAGATTTCTACTGGACTGTAAGATGCAGTTAGTTATGAAAATCGGTACTAAATAGTAAATAATTTCATACAATTTTGATTTGGGTAAACCAATAGAGCTATTATCCTGAAAATTGGAAAAGAGACTACTATGGGATCCCACTACTGTGGGATATGTAAGTAGTTTTGGAAATTTGTACTTATATGTAGTAAAATATACTAAATAAAGTACAATTTGTAATTGCGCGAAACAACAGGGGTTAATATGGTATTACTGTGGGAGTATAGGATTGGGGTATGTAGGAAGCTTTGGAAACTGGCACTTATGTGTACTAAATGGTACTACATTTGGTAGAAATTGGAATTGATGATGAACCAATGGAGCTGGAATTCCTGAAATTTGATGGCATATGTGTTTGAGATTTTGCGGTGGTTTGAAAATACGTCCTATAATTGTACGAAAAGTACTGAATGGTACTATATTTGGTATTGGGCGAAGGGATACGACTTGAATTCTAAACTTTGATGTTGAGGCCTATATTGGTATCCGGAGGTGAGATATGGCGGTGGTTTTACACAACTGTTGGGATCTGTGGTTGAGACATGGGGAGTGTTTTGAAAATGCGTCCTACATTTTTACGAAAAGTACTAAATGGTATAGCGTAAAGGAATGGAGCTGAGATCCTCAAATTTAATATTGAAGTCTCTGTTGCTATCTGGGATTGGGATACGGATCTGCCTCTGGAAATGTGTACTTTAAATGTGTGAAAAGTATTAAATAGTACTAAATTCGGTATTGCGCGAGGGAATAGAGCTGAAATGCTGAAATTTGATATAGATGTCAGTGTTGGTGCCTGTGGTATAGATATGAAGGTGGTTTTGAAAATGTGTACAAAAATTATGGGAAAATCACTGAATGTTAATCCATTTGGTAATGGGTAAATTTATAGAGCTGGAATGCCGAGATTTGATATCGTCGTCTCTGCTGGTATATGGTGTTGAGATCTGGTAATGGTTTTGCATATGCATATCATAATTGTTCGTAGTAATGTTTCAGAAGCATGCAAAAACTATCAATGCATCAAGAAGAAGTCACAATATTGTATGGTTCATGGACTGGTGGCATCATTAGACTGTACTTGTTCAAATATGGTACGATTCGTAACTGAGAATGATGAGTGCTACCGGGAGATGATATCCAAGCTTGACTTGCTTGACATGTGATTTCAACAAGACGATGCCATGTACCATACATGGAGAGACAAGTTCGATGACCATTTAATGTCACGTTCGGTATCGATGAAATAACCGCATATATTGTGCGATTTAAAGCCCTTCGACTATTTTTTTGTGGAGCTTTGTTAAATTTGAAGAGAACTTTGAAGCATTTGTTCTTGGGGTAGTGGCCGAAAGGTTGGAAAGAGGTATGCCAAAATTGAACTGAGCGAATGGACCATTTGAGGCGCAATCGCGGTCAACATCCTTGAATAGAACTGTAAATATAAGTATAAGTTTATCTATACCCCCAGATATTCGTTATTTTAATGATTTCAGCGACATTATTCACCGGAATTGTTTCAAATTTTGTATTATAACTTAATAATGGGTGCTACAAGCAATGGCCGAAAAGGTCTTCGTATAGGCCTCATGTAACGGTAATTTCCTATATTCGGTATTGTTAGGTTTTTAACAGTATTTTTCAACGCACTTTTCTTGAAAAATTCCAGTTTTCCTCCAAATGGTTAAGGGTATTTAAAGTTTGACCCGGTCGAACTTATTGCTTTTTATACCCTCAGCAATATGATTTGATTTCAAAATAATGTTTTTAGACCCTAGGTCTCTTTGGACAAAATCTGGAGTCGATCTAGCGATGTCCGTCCGTTCATCTGTCCGTCTGTCTGTCGATGGGCAATATAGGTTCACTCCTTCTGGTACCTCCCCCAAAAAAGGTCGAAATTTTCAAAAAATTTATTTTTTGCACAGAAAGTGAAAGGGTAATCCGATTTTGCTCCAACTTTGCACATCCTAATATTTGCGTCAGTGCTGGGTCAGGTATGAAAATGGGCAATATCGGTCCACTCTATCAAGTACCTCCCCCACAAATGGTCAAAATTTTAAATAATTACACCTCTCATAAAATGTGATGTAAGAGTCCGATTGTCTTCAAATTTCACACATCCCAATATTTATATAAACCCAAGGTATGGTGTAAAGAAGGAATATATCGGTCCACTCCTTCAGGTACCTCCCCCACAAATGATCGAAATTTTCAAAAATATATATTTTTTTGCACAGAAAGAGAAACGATAATCTGATTTTGCTCCAATTTTGCAAATCTTAATATTTGCGTCAGTGCTAGGCCTGGTGCGAGAATGGACAATATCGGTCCACTCCTTCTGGTACCTACCCCACAAATGGTCGAAATTTTCAAAAAAAAAAAAACATATTTTTTTTTTGCACAAAAAGAGAAACATTGGCTATGGGTATACATCTGAGGGCAAAACCGATACTTTTTTACTTGTTTTATTTGTTTTTTGTTTTTTAATTAAAATTTTACACCAATGAAATTTTTATAGCTTTCAAAAAAAAAAAAATAGCAAAAATTACAATAAAACTAAAAAAGTTTAGACTACACAAGAGACTTCGCAATTAAATTCATGACTGTCTACACAAACTACACACAGAGATATGGGGTTTCATTATCATTAAAAGGATTGGTGCATAACAAACCCCACCCTATTTTCCCACAAATCCAAAGTTTTAATGCCAAAAAATATATTCAATTCCCCCTCACGCATACATGGGATACATGTGTACAGAATTTGAAAAAAAAAACTACAAATTATTATCTTTGTTTCATCATATTTTGTTATGGAGTGGCAGCATCCGCTTGCCATTAATAATTTCTGTTAAGTTTCAGAAGTAGAGACACAAAACAAGTTCGGTTTTTTTTTCTTTCATCTCTTTCTTTATTGCGGTTTAAACTACTAATACGGATGAAACATACCTTTTTCATTGTCCGCATGCAGTGGTCCAACACTTCCGAAAAAGCGTTTGTCGAGAATTTGCAGCAAAAGTAAAGCGGAGGAATGAACTTCGACACGAGGACAGCCGGTCATGAGTAACGTGACTGTTATGACAGACGTGTAATGATCGCAAGGATATTCTCTGAAAACGAAACAAGAAAAAAATGAATAGATTAAAAGAATTTAAATTGATTTAAGGATTTTTGATTTATTAGGGAGGGGGAAGAATGTACGGCTCTCTCGGCATCGGAATCGAGAACTTAGGGTTTTCTAAATTTGGTCGAATCGCGAATGTAGTTGGTATTTGAAACCATACAATAACGAATGTGAAGGAAACTATAAATGGTAGTCGCCGTAAGTGACATCTGTAATTCTCTGACATTTACAACAAGTCAATACTAGTTGGGATGCAATTAAAATAATTATGCCGTATGGCCTAAAGTCTGTTGTCAAACAAGAGTTCAGTAGTGTTCAGAGCCGAAAGAAAGAAAAAGAACTATTTTTTTTTCTTTTTTCGAGCGAGTTTCACTCTCTACTCGAATCCGAGCAGAATTCAACCTGCGAGAGCCGCATCACCGTGATGATAAATGATTTAAACATTTCCTTTTGCAAAGAGATAACTATTTTTTACGAGCTACGAGCGAGTTTCACTCGTTACTCGAATCCGAGTAGAAGTAAACCTGTATGTCAGCGAGTGAACTTTGCTCGTGAGAGTAAAATCCGCTCGAAACCAAGCTGATTTTATTCTTGCCGAGAACTGTTTAAATTTTTTTCGCACTATCAAAAGGATATAATCGGCACAATTACGGTTGTCGTTTCTATAGTCGTCGACTTTATGTGCAAGTCGCCCTCGCCGTCGCTTCGATACAAAATTGGTATTACAGTAACGCATCGACAGTTGGCAACAATTAAAAACGTTGTTATTAATAAAACCAGTAAAGAAAGTCTTAAAGTCGGGCGGGGCCGACATTATGATACCCTACACCACTTTGCTAATTTAGTAGAGCTCCGCATATCCACTAAAAGTTTTTATGGGAGAATTCAATCATACACGCTATGATTATGATTATAATTTAAAGTTCAAAGGACTAAATATGCCGAAGCATATGAAGCACCAAATTTGGCATACTAGCTTCTAGACTCAATTCGGTCGTAAGTGCCAAATTTCATTCAATTTGGGCAAATATTACACGTTTGGTGCACAATAAAAGGCAAATCGGACGTAGTATATATGGGAGCTATATCTAAATTTTGACCGATTATCTCCAATTTCAAAAGGGTTTGTCCTTGGACCAAACAAATGATTTGCACAAATTCTTTGTTTGGCCCAAGGACGAACCCTATTGAAATTGGAAATAATCGGTCAAAATTTAGATATAGCTCCCATATATATCTTCGTCCGATTTGCCTTTTATTGTGCACCAAACGTGTAATATCAGTCCGAATAGTATGGAATTTTGCAGATACAACCAAATTAGACCTAAAAATAAGTATGCCAAATTTTATCGAGATCGGTTCAGATTTGGATATGGCTCCCATATAAAACTTAGACCGATTTACGTTTTATTGTGCACAAAAACGTCTAATATTTGTCCAAATGGGATGGAATTCGGCACATACGACCGAATTGAGTCTAGAAGCTAGTATGTCAAATTTGGTAAAGATCGGTTCAGATATATCTATAGCTCCCATAAATACTGTTCATCCGATTTGTTATATTTGTTACCCACAGCCGTAATATGCACTCCGTAACAACGATATTCAGGGAAATATATCAAATACAGCTCGGAAATATCTTTGCCAAATTTTATTGAAGTCGGTTCCAATTTGGATCTAGCACTCATATATATCTTTATCCGATTTCAAATTAATTGTGCATCAAATGCGCAGTACAAGTCCGAATTTAAAAAAATACAAATGCTTCGGCATATTTATTCCTTTGAACTTTAAATTATAATTATAATTATATTTTTTTTACTCTTTCGCAAACTTTTTGACCCTCACTATAATTATTCAAACTGGAGTAACTCAGAAGTGCCCCCATATAGAGAGGAAACTAATATTCGTGTGTAAACACCTCCCACTATTTTATATTTTTATACCCTCAGTCATATGACTAGAGAGGGTATATATCATTTGGTACGGTCAAAATGCGCCTAATCGAAATAACGGTTTTTGACACTAGGTCTCCGATGGGTCCACCCCATTAAGTATATCCCCCACAAAGGGTCAACACTTTGAATAACTCTTATAAAATGTGATGTGAGAGTCCGATTGTCTTCGCATGACACGCATCACAATTTTTTATTAACCCAAGGTCTGGTGTGAAGCTGACATATATAGGGATTCACTTTTTCTGGTAACTCCCCCATAAAGGGTGAAGCTCCAAAAAAATGAAATTAACATCCGATTTGAAAAACAAAGTGCTCAAAAATAGCGAAATAAGTATCCAACTCTCTTTCAATTTAACACAGACAAACATTTTTGGTAACACAAGACCTGCGAACCACTTCTGGTACCTCATCCACAGAGGTTCACAATTTTCAATACTTGTATCTATCATAACTTGCGAAACAAATCAGCGATTATTTACAACTTGCTATATCCACAGGGTGAGATGAAAATAAAAGCAACCAACTTTAGACTGCTGCTTATGCGGCTTATCCAACAGCTTCTAAAATTATTCCAGTGACTGCTCATTATATTGCCTTCAAGCGTACAATAGCATTTTGGTTAGAATTCTCCAGAAAAAAAGTTATTCGTGATGGAATTCAAGCGTCATGGTGTGATTTCTTTATATTTGGCTGGAAAACCACAGGTGGCTATTGTGTGTGTCTCGTACCATCGCTCGTTACCGTGATACTCAAGCGTAGACCGACGTCAAGGAAGTGGACGAAAGAAAACGGCAACATCAGCAGAAATGTTTCGAAAAGTAAACAAGTCAAAAACAAACAAAACAAACCAACTTTAATACCCTCCAACTTAGGGTAAAGTAAACATTAGAGCCCCCTATTACCCACATGTACCAATTTTTAGAAATATTCATGGGAAAATGTTCCAAAAATCATCAAAATACGTGGACCTATAATTACAATGATTTGCCACACGAAGTGGGACCCATTATTACCCACAACTACCAATGTTCAGAGAAATTCGTGAAAAAATGTGTCAAACAACATCAAAATACCGAATATCCTACCGATATACATACAATGTTTCATATACCTATACATATACATACAATGTTTCGCCACACGAACTAGGACACATTATGACCTACAAATACCAATTTTCAGACAAATCCGTGAAAAAATGTGGCAAAAATCATCAAATTACCGAATATCGGGAAGTACCGTTATATGGGGGCTATACCAAATCGTGAACCCATATATGTAATGTTTCGCCACCGGAGCTGGCCACCAGAACTCAAGCGCCAGCCATGATGGTGGTGTGGGCCACCATTACAGCCGATGGTCGCTTTCCGCTCGTATTAATCGACCGTGGCATCAGAATAATTGCCGAATTTTATCGCGAAAATATTCTGGAGGGTGTATTAAAGCCTTGGGCATGCAAACATTTTGACCGCAGACTTTGGACATTCCCACAACACTCAGCACGCGCCACCCAAGAATGGTTACAAAATGCGGTTCCTCGCTTCATTTCCAGCGCACAATGGCTACCAAAATCTCCGGATACCAATCCGTTGGACTATTGTGTCTGGAGCATTTGGGAAGGCAAGGTTGGAACTAAAAAATACCAAAGTTTCGATCACCTCAAGCAAGCGCTTCGCCAGGAATGGGCCAAAATACCGCAGAGCAACATTCGGGCAGAGTGTGACGGTTTCATTGGCCGTTTGAAGGCCATAATTCGTGCCAAAGATGACCAATTCGAACGAATCTACAAATCTCCGACGTTTTTTTCTTTTATTTAATAAAATTTAAAACAAGTAAAAAGCTGTAAGTTCGGCTGGGCCGACCTTTTAATACCCTCCACCATTTGGTACAAAATTTGGCAATTTCCAAAAAAAAAAAAAAAAATCCGTTAAAAATTCTGTTAAAATCTTAAAAATACCGAATGCCTATACGACGACGTGGACCTGCATAGGCAACTTTTGTCATAAGTTATTACAATATTTAAATGCGAAACTTGAAGAAAAATCTGTTTATAAATTAGCTAAAATCATCAAAATACCGAATATAGGGGGTACCGTTATATGCGGGCCATACGAAGACGTGGAGCTGCACGGTCAATTTTCTGGCATGGGCTGAAGTATACATTTCAAACTTCACATGCGAAATTTGAAACAATCCCGGTAAATAATGTCGCTAAAAACATCAAAATACCGAATATTGGTGGGTACGGTATATTGGGACTATACGAAGACGTGGACCTACATGGCCCTTTTTCTGTTTTATGCTGCAGTATCTATTACGCTACAAAAAAGTGTCGCTAAAATCATCAAAATACCGAATATCGGGGGTACCGTTATATGGGGGCTATATGATAACTTGGATCTACATGGCCCATTTACGAACTTAACCTGCCTACTGGCAAAATATATATGTGTGCAAAATTTCAGCTTTCTATCTCAATTTGTTCGAAAGATAGCGTGATTACAACAGACAGACGGACATGGCTAAATATTCTTAGAATTTTACACTGATCAAGAATATATATCCTTTGTTGGGTCTGACATGAGTATTTCGAGTATGGTGGAGGGTATAAAACATTAAAAATTATGGGGTTAGACTTTGTTGCAGTTTTTGTTATCTCACCCTGTACGTGTGCAGTTTCAATGATTTTCTTCAATATTTCTATCAACAATAGATCTTATGTGACATGTGGGTCCAACATTTTCTGATATTTTCCACTCAAAAGAATAAAATTCTGATAAAACATTTATTCTCATGAATTTGGAAATAAGAGTTGAATTTTCCTTAAGCTTTGCATATTCTAATAGTTTTTTATATGTATTAGATGTAGTGTGAAAATGAAGTACTGTTCTTGGTACCTCCCGTACAAAAATTGAACAATTTCCAAAAAAGAAAAAAAAAAACATACACATATCAAATATAAAATCCAATATATATATATACTTGTTGCATGTGTAGTTTTTATGCACGTCTCTGTTACATAACACCA